TATTGGGTTTTTTTGCTTACATTTGTTTTACTTTTTTAGTAGCATGTATTAGTTGTACAGGAGGGTTTCGTTGTGACATTTATATATGTGGTTGCAAAGTATCTTTAAATTAGATTCACCCCCTCCATCATTCTCCCTCATTCCCCCTCCTTGGTTCTTAGAACAATTTCAATAGGTTTTATTGTTCAAAGTACATCAACCATATTTACCCTCCTTCACCTCTCCATTTACCCTCCCTCTCCCAGTGGTACTTCACCCGTAACAGGACCTGTTTTACCTTCCTGTCCTTCATTTTTTTTTTAAAGTGTATATTGATTGTTCAAGAGAGTTTCACCTTGGTATTTCAGACATGTATATACTTTAATCAGATTAACCCCCTCTGTTACTTACTCTTTCTCTGTCACCCTGTTCTCCTATTATTCAACAGCTTTCAGTGCATTTCATCATACTGTCTTCAACCCAGATGAAATGCATGTCACTATTATTCACTCTATCATTCTTTTTTCCTCTCTTGTCTTCCTGTAGTCCCCTCAGACAGATCCACTATTAGAATCATATTTTCTCTCTCCATAGATAGATAGGTAGATGTGTATTTGTTTTTATTTATTGTTAGCATATATTAATTGTACAAAGGGATTTTATTGTACTATTTCCATACATGCATATAATTCATTTTGATCAAATTTACCCCCTCTATTAATTCCTTTCTTGTTCCCTTTTCTCTTCCCTCCCTTTTTTAATTTTAATGAGTTTCATTATTCTATTTTCATATATATATATATGTATATATATATACTTTGATAATATTCACTCCCCCATCACCCTCTCCTTTCTCCCTCCTCCCTCTCACTGGTCCCTGCCCCACCTCCACCCCTGAACAGTCTACCTTTTACATTCATGTCATTTTTTTTAAGGTCTACATTTTACATATGTGGGAAAACATGTGATCTTTGTCTTTTTGAGTCTGTCTTATTGCATTTCTCCTATACTTTTAAATCCATTGAAATTAATCATTACAGTTTGGGGGCAGAGCTCAGTGATAGAGTTTGCTTAGCATGTGGGAAGCCCTGAGTTCAATACCCAGCATAAAAGAAAGAAAAAGGAAGGAAGAAAGGGAGAGAGGGAAGAAGGGAAGGAGGAATAGGTGAAAACAGTAGGAAAGAAAGAAGAATAATTTTGGAACATGTGGACAGATGCAGAAAATGCCCCGGCTATGATTGTCTCTGACTTGCAGGAAGAAAATGGCCACAGTGTATGAAAATCACAAGGTTAGCAGGCTTTCGACATGGAAGATATCAAGTTCAGAGAAATCTAGTGGAGGTTTTTCCTTTTCTCTCTTTTTTCTTTTCAAACACTTTACAGACTGTGGAGAATTCCATGCACTTGGGTGGGGGTTGGTAAGTCCATTGTGTATATACTCATATGCACATATTATGGCTTACCCTGAATTCCAGGGAATGTCAATGTCACCCACTCACCAGACAATGTCTGTCATGTGTACTGCAGGCCAATAATACTGTGTGTAACTTTTAAACACCCACATCAATCACTTCTTAAATAGTTTAATTTTTTTCATATTTTCAAGTAAATTGTATCTTTTCCTGTCATTCTATAATCGTGTATAATGTTAATATTAGTCTTATAACTAGAATTAGCTAATTTTAGATTTTTCACTATAACATAGTACTTTGCAACATAAAGGCCTGCCCTATAATAGAGAAAAGTTTGATTTGGGGTTTAAAAATAAGACACTTACGAAATTAGTAATGCTTTTATTAAAATAAAGTTTATAATTAGAGTCCTAAAATCAGACTATTGTTTGTAACTTAACTTACCCTTTTTTCCCTAATGCATTATTGGGCTCTCCTGAACTACCATCTCTTACAAGAATTTACTTAAAGGACTGGTGGAGTGACTAAAGTGGTAGAGCACCTACCTAGCAAGTGTGATCAATCCCCCGTACCACCAAAAAAAAAAGAAAATTGCTTAGATGTCCTTGTATAGTCTGTTTCTATACAATAATTAGAACACATTGTTTTCTTTTCATTGGAGTGACATTTGCTGACACCATAGTTATATGCAAAAATGAATACAATGAGAAAAATTAATATTCTAACCTATATGAAGGTTCTACTGACTGAATATGTGATGGACCATTCCTTAATATGTTTGTTGCTCATACTTGACTTGCCTCTTGGTTTAGTTGCCTAATCACAAAAGAAGTTGAATCCATTCAGGTTGTGTTCTTAGTTGACTGTCAATAACTGTTATTTCCATGGATGGAATTGGAGAACATCATTCTGAGTGAGGTTAGCCTGGCCCAAAAGACCAAAAATCGTATGTTCTCCCTCATATGTGGACATTAGATCAAGGGTAAACACAACAAGGGGATTGGACTATGAGCACATGATAAAAGCGAGAGCACACAAGGGAGGGGTGAGGATAGGTAAGACACCTAAAAAATTAGCTAGCATTTGTTGCCCTCAATGCAGAGAAACTAAAGCAGATACCTTAAAAGCAACTGAGGCCAATAGGAAAAGGGGAACAGGTACTAGAGAAAAGGTTAGTTCAAAAGAATTAACCTAGAAGGTAATACCCACGCACAGGAAATCAATGTGAGCCAACTCCCTGTATAGCTATCCTTATCTCAACCAGCAAAAACCCTTGTTCCTTCCTATTATTGCTTATACTCTCTCTACAACAAAATTAGAAATAAGGGCAAAATAGTTTCTGCTGGGTATTGGGGGGTGGTGAGGGAGGGGGCGGAGTGGGTGGTAAGGGAGGGGGTGGGGGCAGGGGGGAGAAATGAACCAAGCCTTGTATGCACATATGAATAATAAAAGAAAAAGGAAAAAAAAATAACTGTTATTTCCAAAGTGATGTATGCATAGTGTATTTTTTTTTTTTTTGCATACGACAGGTTTAAGAGGTTTTGAAATTACTGGCAAAACAGTCGTAAATGCTAAGCTTACTCACATTTGGCTTGTTCAACCAAATTGCAAACCATTTTGTGAATATCTCAGAAAGCATCCTGAAATTCAAGATTTTCTTCTCAGGGTCTGAGTGGAAAGAAACAAAGCAGCTTGCAGGAGCCAGTTCTTCCATTCTTACATTGCTAGGAAGGTTTGTGAGCTCATCATTACAAATTAAATTATATAAACTTATAATTAAATAAATTATTTTTAAAATAAAGGTAGGGGCTGAGGGTGTAGCTCAGTGATAGACTGTATATTTTGCATCAGGGAAGGAGGCTGTGTTCAGTCCTCAACACCGTAAGAGCAAACAAAGGTAATATATTCCTAAAACTCTTCACTGCCTAATCTCTTGATTTTTACTACCCTACTCATGAGGTTATTTACATCTAGTGTTTGGATTCAAGGATGGTTAAATGTTAGCAAGTCAATAGACACGATATACCACATCTTCAGAACAAAGGATTAAAAAAAACCACAGGATTCTCACAATAGATGCAAAAAAGTCATTTGCACAAGCACAGTGGTGCTTGTGAGGTGGCTCTTACACACCTATGCCCAGCTCTACCTACAATGAGTGATATTTGCACAATATTGAGATGATAGAGATTTTCATTTGATGAAAATAATTTATACAAAGGTAAGGAATATATTAAGAACAGATTACATAAAAGACATAATGACAATAAATGTATTGGAAAAAGACAAGATTGAGATGCAAATGAATGTGTGACTTTTGTACAATTATATGGTTTGAATTACTGGCTACTGATGAGATTGACCAAAATTCACAAAAGCATGCTCTGAGTATCAATTGCTATATGGAACTTGCCATAAAGAATACTGTGCACTTCATTATTTTTGAGGATTGTGTGATACGCGCTCTTTACATCAGTAAAACTTATAATAAGCATATGTATGTATAGGTGCATACTTTCTTCTCTGCAAAATCCCTTATTAAATATTAACCAGACCTCAACAGTTCTGCAAGAAAGATGAGGTTTTGTTCTGGCCAAGTGATTCCAGTGAGAGTAAATATGAGGCCCTGAGTTCAAACTCTGATCCCACCAAAAAAAAGATAAGAAAGATAAGTTCAAGAGGTAACTTAAAAGCAGCTTTTTCACAAAGTCATTATGGAAAGCAAGTCTGTCTCTCTGTAGACATAATCTGTTAAGATCAGTGTATATTTTTGCTGACACCAATTTGGTTTAGCAGTATTGAAAAGACCTTTGTTTTCATTTAGTTTGATAACTCTTCCAATCTGAAAGAGAATCAGAACTTCAACCAGATGACACTATAGACATTTTTCCTCAAAAACGGTTGTGGCCATGACAATGGCATAGAAATTGAACGTTTTTATTTCTAGCTATAACTCACAAAAATTACTTGTTAAATCAGATTATTTCATCAGATCTAATTTATTTTTGTATAGTGTTTCACCTTTAAATTCACTGAAAAGATTCATGACTGTCAGACAACATTTTATATACTTGCTTCATGAACTTGGCACAACCAGGTAGCCTGTGCACTGTCTCCCCTGCAAGGAGCCAAAAGTTGAACCCATCAAACCAAGAAAATGGCTTCTAACTCAATCAGCCCAGAGAAGGAAGTTATGAAATTGCACCATGTTTTTTAACCACGTTTTACATATTTCAACATAAACTCTGCCCCAACATGCATAAAGTGATCTCTAGACCCAGTATGAACAGGAAGTACTGATACCTGGTGTCCTATTGTGTGACGTTCTACAGATCTATAAATCAGCATAATTTATATATAGCTGCAGTTACACAGACAGACTATGAAGAATTTAGTGAAAATTTCCCCCAATGGTTTTATTGAGGAAAGGAAGACACTTCAGGTCTATCCAAGGACAAAAGAATTTATTTGATAATATTTGTTTAGTTAAGTTCTCAAAATACCAGTAAGAAAAAATCTAGATCTGAAGTTTATGTGTGTTTTGTGAAGAATGGGGTAAAGGTTGATTTGGGTCCAGGATGTAACTGCCGCTTTTTGTTTTTATTCAAGGTGTCATAAAACTGAGTTCTGCTGTTGAAGGTACGTTTTTACCACCACAAAACGGATCATGTTTTTGCTTCAAAAGCTGCACAGTGTGGCCCGTAGCTAGCAAGCTTCTGTGGCGGTGGTGTTTGACGCCATGTTAGGACTGCCAGCGTCGCCATTCCGTCTGTGCTTCTCCTCGTTCTGGTCGTGTTATGCTGCAAGTCTCTCGGCCCTCCGCCATGGCAAGGTGGCCCTAAGAGAGCACGTGTGTCTGTCTGTATTTCCTCGTGCAATGGCCGCAGACCCAGTGCTTCTCAGAGAGAAGCTTCCCGTCAGGAAGCTGTGTCCTGTTCTTTCAGCAAGGCCTGCTAGAGCAGTGCCCTGGTCCTTCATCCCCACATAGCAGACGTGTGCCAGGAAGTGTTTGGGCGTGAACAGTTGTTCAGGCTTGCTAATGAGAAAGCCAGGTGGTGAGGGCATTTGCCAGTCTTATGGCCCCCTCCCCCTGGGCACTGGTTCCACCTCCACAAGATGCTGTGAGGACCACCTTCAGTGTTGTCCAGTTGGTGGGCAGCCCTTCCTTTAGCTATGCAGTCAGGAGCTGTGAGGAAAAGAAAGAGGGATTTAAAGAAAGTAAAAGGAGCTGGGGGCACTGCTCAGTGGTAGGGTGCTTGCCCTGCATGCAAAAGGCCTTAGGTTCTATTCCCAGCACCAAAAAACCCTAATAAATAAATTAAAATGAAATAAAAGTACAGGAAGTCTGACTCAAGTAATATAGTACCTGTCTAGCAAGCACAAGGCTCTAAGTTCAAACCCCAGTCACAGAAAAAAAAAAAAAAAAAAGTATAGGGAGTCATAGTGACAAAGATCTATAGTCCCAACAATCAGGAGGCAGAGGCAGGAGGATTTCTAGCTCAAAGCCAGCCAGAGCTATATATAGACCCTGTCTTAATGCCTCCTACAAAAAAAAAAAAAGTTTAAAATGGTTAGAAAGTTTTGCTGAGTAATCCTCAATACTGTTTTAAAAAAAATCTCATTATCATAGCCACATACCACTGATAGCTCACATCTATAATCGTAGTTACTTGGAAGGCTGAGATTGGGAGGATGGCAATTTGAGGCCAACCAAGAGCAAATAGTTCCATGAGACTCCATCTCCAAAAGTAACCAGAGCAAAATGGTCTGGAGGTGTGGCTCAAGTGATAGCTTGCCTAGCAAACACAAAGCCCTCCCTGAGTTCAAACCCCACTACCACAAAAAAAAAAAAAAAAAAAAACCTATCTGAAGTAATTAATTGGTTATTGGTATAAAATTGACCTCCTTACCCTCCTAGGAACTTAACAATCCAAAAGTAGAGAAGTGTAACTTTCTCTTTGTGAGTCTCTGTGTTTGTTTAAGGGTATGTGAGTGTTCTCATTTATGGGAGTGTGCTGATCATGTTTTGGGGGTGTCTTCATTCTCACCTAATCAGGGGAGGCTGCTGGAGGAGGTGGTGGGCTTTCAGGTGAGTTTTCCAGCTTGCAGGAAAATGTGGCTTAACGAATGAGCAGTGCATGGAGGTAGGGAGGGAGGAGAAGTGGAGAGGCCGGACTCAAGTCAAAGGTTCAGGGGGCTGGAGTTTGAGGGTTGGGAAGTGACAGAGGAGCTCAGTTGTGTATTCATGGGAGTGACCAATCTGACCTGGAGGGCTCTGTCCCTCCTCGGGATTTAGGACCATCACATTGGACAAAGTCAAGCTGCAAAGGCAGATTCTGACATTCATGGCCAAAAGTATTCTGCTGCTCAGACTAAATAAGACAGGAAGACGGGGGATGTAGTTCACAGGTAGAGCCCAGGCACTGAGTTCGATGAAAAAACAAAACAATAACAAGAAAAAGAAAAGGTGCAGGCAGTGGTGTTTTAGGGTGGAGAGAGAGACCAGTAAAATGATGTCACCTCTCAGGGCACCGATGGCTCATGCCTGTAATCCTAGCTACATGGAAGGCTGAGATCATGAGGATCGCAGTTCAAAAAAAACAAGAAAAAGAAAATTCCTTTCAAGCCATCACATCACCTGCTTGGCTTAAGCACAATACTCCATTTGCAACAAAAGGAAGTAGAAACGAGACAATTTTTAAAAGTCAGAAAGCCAAGAGAACTCTAGATAATTTAAAAACATTTGTACTGAGGTTACTACTGGGTGGCATAACCTGTCTGAGCCCTCAAAACAGGGTTAAATTCTCCAGAGAAAGATGAAAGTGTGAGGAAAAATGAGGCTGGAAAGCAGAGTGACTGTCTAGGGGCTGTCGATCGGCCTCTGGCTGCCTCCCTCATCACTAAGCCTCTCCTGAGTCCTTGGGGAGCGAGGGGAGGGGGCGGAGAGCACAGGAAGTTCTCTGCAGTGGTGGTGGGTAGCAGAGGTCAGGCCCACTTCGACTGCAGCTTGAGTATCTTTGGGGCAGCTTATTGGCTGAGGGCTGTAAAAAAGCTTGCATGCTGTGTTGTTTGAATACGTGTGTGCCAGGGTGGTTTGGGGTGGTGTTGGGGTGGGGTGCGTGTGTTCAATGCATGCATTCTCAATGCATCTAGAATGTGAGGCTCTTAGGAGCATGCTCCGTGGAATGTGTGTCAAATACAATTTCCTGATGAGCAATCAAACACAGAGATTCGACTGCTTAGTTAATTACTGCACTTACTGTTTACCTTCTCTGGAATGAATTCCAGGCAGCCTCATAGAGGTTGATCATGTCACAGAATATGTCCATCTGTGGAAGGGATCCATCCCAAAAATGAAATATTGTTCCTTCTCTTTAAAAATGACTATTCTGGGTTATCCTAGAACTCTGAAAATAGTATTAAAATTTTAGGTAGGTTCTCTTTTTTCTTTTCTTTGTAAGGAGAAACAACTGTGAGGGGCTAGGAATGTAGCTCAGTGGTACAGCACATGCCTAGTGTGTGTGATGTCCTAGGTTTAGTCCCCAGTACCACAAAAGAAGAAAAACAACTGTGAAAGACATAAATGAAAAATCCACAAAGATTCCACTTGCTGTTTCCTACCAAGAACTTTGTCATGCGGTTTTATACCTTCCCTTTTTCTAAAGCAGGGGTGCCCCCTGCAGTATTTTGCCACTTCATGCCAGCAAAAAGAAAAAACATTTCCATCACGTTAAAAGTGTAAGGGGAAAAGTGAAACATCCTTTGAAAGACTCAAAATTATACTTAAATAGAAACACACGTCAGTGCTTTAATTATTTTGCTGTGAAGAAAAATATTTGAACAGGAAAAAATGAAGTTTGAAAGAAAGAACTGCAGTTTTAACATCAACACTGAAGTATTCAATTTTAGATGGATAGTTCTAAACTCAGAGAAAAACTGGAGTAAGAGAGAAGTATTTAGACAGCAATCTGAGGGAAAGTGGAGAGAGTTGGAGCAATGATGGGGAAGAAAAAAAAATCCATGGCAAGCATTCCAGACCAGAATCTTCTAAATATTCCCCTTCTGAATATTCCAGCCCCAGCCTGGAACTCTTTTGTTTGTTTAGGGTCTTTTGTTTGTTTTATTTTGTTTTATTTTTGCTGTACTGGGGTTTAAACTCTTGCTAGGCAGGTGCTCTACCTCTTGAGCCACACCCCAGCCTCAGTCAGGAGCTCTTTGTCCAACTAACATTGCACCAGTGTGGTGTGGTAAGACATTTGGGGAAAGTGGAGCATTCTGGGAGATAGCAGCCGGAGGGCCAAGATGAGGCTGTGGTGGAAGGCTGGTATAGGTCATAAGTATCTTACTGCTCCATGATAATGGCTTATGAGCCACCATCCCCATCAGAACAGGGCACTTTGGACGGCTGTCATATCCAAGGTGGTACTTTCGACATCTTCGTAGACTCTGATCCACCAAGTGGAAAAACTCCTCAAGAACAGTAAAAAATTGGGCTGAGGATGTAGCTTAGTGGTAGAACACTTGCCTGGCACAGACAAGGTCCTGAGTTTGAACCCCATCACCACATTAAAGAAAACCAAGTTAAAATAAAAACTGAACTCAGTCTTTACATCCATTTTCAAAATTAACACTTTCAGCTTCCTGTCTGTATTGTAATTCTGTAGAAAGAAGAGCCACTTTCCATTCGGAGCTTGTATCTGCCCTCACATACTTTTTGAGAACTTAGATTTCCATTTACTTTGCTTAAGAAATCCTGTTTTCCATAATATGGCATGCAATAATATCCAAAATTCCCCCAAATGAATTTAAAATTATAAAAACATATGACCAAGTATATTGATATCATTAATTCTAGATGAATTTTGTTCTTGTCATTGTGTCTATTTTTTTTTGAGACAAGCTATCTGTTCAAGTGTGTCAAGGTACACTGTGGTAAATCCATTACTGAAAAGCTTGTGGACCAACTTCTTGTGGGAAATTGAGAATGAAGTTTCAACATTTTTACTATTGGAAATCAAAATGTCTTTTTAGACCTTCAATTCAAACCAGAGAGCTGATAGGGATAGGTAGGGCTGTCTCCTGGGAAGAAATTTCTCCTGCCTCCAGAGTGAATGGCAGGGTGAGGGATAGAAAACAGAATATTGTGCAAACCGAAAACAGATTCCAGAAACTTGTTTCTGCAAAGAAACTCAGTCCTCCTGCTTATAAAGATAACATGAGAGCTGAAATATCCTACCAACCAAGTACATGTTTTCTTCTCAAGTGTATGTTTTCAGAAATGTGTCATGAAACTTTTGGTAAAATTTTCCTGTTCAATAATAATCCTAGGGTCTGTGGAGTGAGGAAGTATCTCCATGGTAAAGCACTTGCCTAGTATGCTAGATTCCATCCCAAGCACTGAAAAAATAAATTTAAAAATAATAATATAAATTAAATAAATATTAATGTCCCTGGAAGCATTAAACTGAGAATTTACCAAATACAATCATCCCTCACTATCCACAGAAGACTCATTCCAGGGCCCCCATGGGTACCAAAATTCCCAGATGCTAAAGTTTCTGAAAGAAAATGCCATAGTGTTTGTACATACCCTATGCACATCCCCCCTTACACTTTAAATCATCTCTACATCACTTATA